GAGAGAGAGAGAGAGAGAGAGAGAGAGAGAGAGAGAGAGAGAGAGAGAGAGAGAGAGAGAGAGGGAATAGTCACCTTACACGCATGCAAGGGTGGCGCTTTGTCTTTCTTGTATTCGTGACATTGGTTCCACGATAATGATGACGACGGGTGGTGTTCCAAGATAAATTTGTCGGGGCGGAAGCACTTTCAAGGAATCTATCTGAAGTTCTGAACTAGATTGCAGCACGACTTGGATGAATCTGACTGCAATAGTGCCGAGAGCCCAGTAGAAAATGTCCTAGGGTGAGTATGCCCGTGGAGCTTCGAGATTCGTGGGCAAGATCTTTCAGGTCTCATACAGTAATGATGACAATAGGGTGTTCTACAATAGAACAGAGATGGACTGTTGGAAAGGGGACAGAAGCACCCTCTTTCTGACTGTATGAGACCTGAAAGACCGCTTGCATACATCCCGTATTATATCAGTTTTGGGCGATAGTAACAGCAGACATCAGGAACAGAAGCACCTGCTTTCACAGAAGCTCTTTCAGGAATGTATGTGAGCACAATTGCAGCGCGACCTGGATGAATCTGACTGCAATAACGTCCACAGCTTAGATGAAAAAGTCCTGATGCGAGTATGCCAGGAGGTTGTAGATTTATGAGCAAAAAACAAAAGAATCTGTACTGTTCGAAGTATCCGTTGGATGCCACGAAGGTGCAACTTCATGGGCATCGCTCCACGACTCGCGAAATGTGCAAAAGGAGGATGAACCTTTCACTAGACCATGGAAAGATACACCGCCATATATTTTGTCTTTTGTGCATGTTGTGAGTAGTGGAGGGAGGCCCCATTGCTTGTGTATCGAATGCGCCTTTGTTTAGGTCTGGGATTGGCCTGCACTATACCGACGAGCGGCATTCACGAACACACACACATTTTTTGTGCAACTGCCAACAGGCAGAAACATATATATTTTTCTATACTCGTATTTTCGAGGAGTTGGTCGAGGCTTGCAACCACACCCCCGCCACTCCAAAATTTTCCAATGACCCTTGTTTTTGGGGATGCACCTGCAGTGCCTGCAGGCCCGGCACCACGCTCACATGCATGGAGTGCACCGTGCGGTGCGTGTGAGTGAGTGACACACGTGGTTCGCCACAATATAAAAGGAAAAAAAAAAAAAAAAACGTCGATGTCTAGCCTGTGTTTCCCCTGCCTGTGCTCCCTGCGTTGTCTGTGTCCATGTCGTTCCACCCTTCCTACCTTCAGATTTGGTATGGCGAGTTGTCGGGCTTCCTGATTTGATTTCTTCAGGTGATAGGGGCAGTGCAGGGGTGCAGATAGTGCAAACCAGCACTCCTTTTTTTTTTTTTCCCCTCTTTTTTTAACAAGAAAAGACTCTTCTCATCTCAATATCACAAAAAGGGGGAGGCCGGAAATCCTCCGCACACACAACCCGGAAGGGAAAAGTTACCGGGACCATTACCTCGTTGGAACCAGTGTCTGTGTAGGCATTGGGATAATCCCAAAGACTGAAATGGGCAACATCAGATCGCTGTCCTCTTAGACACCCAATCCTGTAAAGGAAAAAAAGAGTTGCCACAGGCCTCAGCACACCATTTTGAACAGAATATGAAAAAATGTCAATGATACTAATTTGATAGGACAATTCAGATGGGTATTGTGGGGCGGGGTGGATGGGGCCTTGTGAGGTGAGGGGCGGTGGGGGGTTGCAGAAAGGGTGTAAACCACCACACACGTTTTTGAAGTTTAGAAGATACTTTGACGACAGCTGCGCAGTCTGAGATGATCGATCCCTGGAGGACGTGCCACGCTGTCTAATAAACTGTCCTAATGCACAAAGGATTTGGAACAGAACGCGGGCGTACTGCTTGGAGCTAGTCGGCACCTACTGACACTCCTGACGGGTCTGGCACAACCACATTTCAGAGAAGTCTGGCATTCAACCCTCTTCAGAAGACTTCGCCCTTTTACGCTATGGAATACTCGATGCAAACAAATGATAGCATGCCAAAATACATCGTCCCGGGAGGCCTGGGAGAACGTTCTACAACTACTACACACGGAATGCCAGGCAGATTGGCAACAAGCAATCAAGAATATCAAGGATGGCCCCACAAAATAGCAAATAATCGTAGACAAATTCATCAAGGACAAACTCGGCACAGTACGAGGTGATCCCCTTCCTTGTTGGAAATGGCACGATCACAAAACAGTTTAGCGGACATAAATTCAGCTTAGTAGACTTGGATGACTAGGGTTCCATGTAAATAGGGACTTGGTCTAAATAGTAAATAGGGACTTGGTTTAGGGGGGAAAAAAATTGAAAAAGTTTTGAAGTTTGAACAGAATATAAAGAATCGGAAATGCTGTGGATTGGAGAATTCGGACAAGTACAGGTATAGTGGGGTTTAGGGGAAAGGAGGCTGGGGTGGGGGGGGGTGTTGGAGGGGGGGGGCAGGGGAAGCGAGGACGATGGGGGATTGCGGAGAGAGCCCCGCGAATCAATGAAGTATGGCATTGTGAGTGGAATATGAAGAACGGTCATGGGTTATAGAATTCAGATAGCAGTATGGGCTGACTTTATATCTATTTGTGGGTGTTGGTTTTCGATTCCAGATGATTGTTACAACGCCTGAAAAATGGGATGTGATAACAAGAAAAAGCAGTGATGTTGCACTCGCTTCACTTGTGAAGCTGTTGATCGTTGATGAAGTCCATTTGCTAAATGATGATCGAGGACCTGTCATTGAGGTTCTCATTGCAAGAACCCTTCGTCAGGTATTCCTTTTCCATCCCCATCCCCCCCCCCCCCCCCCCCCCCCCCCGTCTCTCTCTCTCTCTCTGTGTC